ATTCAATCTCAGCCAACATGAACCAATTCACAGAGAATACAAACTGGGCTAAATTTTACTCTCACTCATACACATCCAAAGTTAATTGGCTTTAATGTGGGAAGAACGTACCTACTCAACTAATCTTAGTCAGAGCAGGCCCATCCCTGCTGTGTATTTAAGAAAACCCATTGGATGGTGCTGCCTGTGAAATAACTGCAATTACCCCTGGCCTGAGGTGAGAAAGAGTGGCTTGAAAGTGTGCTGCATGGACAAACAGCCAGCAGGACACAAGGCAGGGGGCTGCCACATCCTTCCACCCAGAGGAGGGTTGTTTATGTTGGGCTTCCTGAGCAATACTCAGCTCAAAGTTTGATCAAAGATGCTATTTACACTCTACCTGTTTTTTTTCAACATACTACAAATAGTCCCATGTGTACCCTTTCCTCCCCTGTTTCAACACTGCCATTCTGCAGGACAGAAGGAAGGTCAATGGGGCCCAAAATGCATGGCTATCATAGAATCATAGAATAGTTTGGGTTGGAAGGGACCCTTAAAGGTCCACCCCCCCTGCCATGGGCAGGGACATCTTCAACTAGATCAGGTTGCTCAGAGCCCCGTCCAACCTGGCCTTGCATGTTTCCAGGGATGGGGCATCTCCCACCTCTCCAGGCAACCTGTTCCAGTGTTTCACCACCCTCAGCGTAAAAAATTTCTTCCTTATATCTAGTCTGAATCTACCCTCTTAGTTTAAAACCATTATCCCTTGTCCTATTGCTATAGGCCCTACTAAAAAGTCTTTCCCCATCTTTCCTATAAGCCCCCCTCTAAGGGAGAACAGATCTCCCACTCAGCTGGAGATGGTGGTAGATGTTGACCAACATCATTCAACACATCAGGAACAGGAGACCCTGCACTTGAGACAACTGCCAAAGTTTAACATAAGGTGAACCTGTACAGAAGGGTAGCAAGGCTTCATTTTGGTTTAGACCTGTCATAGTAAAGTTTGGCTTAAATTGATTAGGTGTTGTTTTATGATAAAATGAAGCAAAATCTGTCAGAAAGAAACATCACAGCTTGCTGTCCTTTATACTCTGAGCAGTGGGTCTGTACAGCCATGCTGGGCAGGAAAATAACAGGGCAAGGACAGAGCCAGTCTCAGCAGTTATATCTGAATGTAAACAAGGTCTCTATAGGGCATGGATGAAATCCCCAGCCTGAGGTCACAGGAGAAGAGCTTAAGGTTGTTCTAGCTGGACCTAGTCTCCAGACTTAGCCCCCCCTTTGAACACGGTCCCAAGGCAGCCTGCAGACCCCTAAGCGATGCCCTCTCTCCCTTGGGTGCTGGCAGGGGCCATGCTGGAGCAAGCACTGAATAACCCCCATAACAACAGACACAGTTATTTGTCCATTTGATTTTTCCTGAGACAAACACTTTGCTGCTCCTGCCCCACAGCAATGCAATGGGCTGTCCCCTCCTGGAGCTGCAGTCCAGCTTCCTCTCCTGGCCCTTTCTGTGTCACCCTGCCCGGTGGCACTGCTGTTGTAGAAGACCGCTCAGGTCACGCGTTTTGTCAGAGCCAGGCTGGATCTATTCTGATGCGTGACAGCTCATGAATCACTGTGAATCAGGAGCAAACTGTCTTTCCTCGAATTTGAAATGAGCTGAATCTTTTTCTCATAGACCTACTCCATCATTCCCCATTTACAAAAAAAGACTCACTCTTTTTGTTCTCTCATGTCAACCAGCAAGCAGAAGCACCTCACTGAACAGGGTCTCTTTTCCTATTAGAAACTGTACGTGCATTTGTTGTGCACAGTGCCATTTGATGCATGCGTTGCTGATAAAACACAGGCTCTGGTTTAACAAATCAATACAACAGTCCCGTTCAAAGCCCCTCTGAGCAAAGGGCTTCTTGATGTTGTTTCCTTATCTAATCTTTCATACTTCAGCATTTCTTCATTTAAAACATTGATAATTAAAAATGCAGAAGGGGATGATCACAAGGAGAGATTAAAGAACTTTAACAAAATATTTGAAATAATAATAGCATTACATTACAGGGAACAATGTCTCCTTATTAACTAACTGCTGTGCAACAGTGCCCAGGGATCCCAAGCAATGGCTCAAAACCCATCTGCGTTAGGTGCTATGCAAAGACAAGAGCTGCTATAAAAAGCGTACAAACTCCCTACAGGATGCAAAAGGCAGCCTAGCAGATGTTTACATCTCCAATTTCTTTGAGACAGATCCTTACTTTTTTCTTAGTTCTTACTGAATTCCAAAGGTTAATAAAATGCTGCCTGAACCAAGAATTTAGGAGTTCTATTCTTCGAGCTGCTCTGCATTTTATAAAGAGATGTGCATCAGATGATACATCAGTTAAAAATAACTGGGAAACATCAAGTAATTATAAGTACATGTCCCACAGGTTTGCATATCTTGAATACTGAAATGCCTTCCAATCATGCATTAAGTGACAAGTCTCACTTTTGCCACTGGAAATAGCGTATGCAATGCCTTCTGTTTTTGTAAGGTTTTTATTTTGGAAAGCTGTCCTAAAAGACACTGCTCAGTGTTTATGGTAAAGAAGGCAGAGCAAAGACCTCTGCTTTGCAGCTGGAGTAGACTGGGATTTCAGGTTCGTTCTTGTAGGATTTTTCTCAGGAGTCCCATAACAACCCTGTAGCAAACCTACAGTCACAAGCCTCATCCTTCATAAAAATAAGAAAGCTAGCATTGGACTCCAAATGAAGAATAAGCAGCAAAGACTCAGGACTTTCAGCTATCAGTACCACAAAAAGATTTGTGGTACATGCTTTCTTCACTAGGGCTCAAGAAGCCCCACAACTGCCTTAAGAGTAAAAATTGCCTCTACTTCACATGGAGATCCAAGCGCATCCTGCATCGTGATCCTATGTAAAGGGCTGGTTACTACAGACTGCAGAGAGAGGTGGAATTCAAAGCCAACCTGGATATCACAGCTACTCTGCAAGACAAGAGAAATGGGTAAATTTGTATCAGCTCAGCATAAAGATCTGGCCACCCAGAGTCATTTCACTGCACAGCTAAGCATGAGATGGATCTGATTTCTATTTCTTCCTTTTAGCCACAGTACAGCAAAATCAGCTTACTCAAACCCCTGGAGGGGAATCTCTGTACAATAGCCCCAATGTGCCTTAAATTGCTAAAATAGCCATTAGCCAATAATCTCATCTACCGCTTCTCATCTGTATAGCTCCAATCCTTTTAGAAAGGAGGAAAAGCAGCACCCATCATTTACGGGGAGAACACAATTGAAATTAATACAATTCCTCAATTAATCAAAAAGTCATCACAAACATCCTGTGAAATATCCAACAAAGACATCCTAGCTCAGCAATGAAGCTATGTTTGTCTCATGTCTTTACATAAAAGAATAGGATTTGGAAAAGCGTGATGGCCCAACTGCCCAGAAGGTTTCTCCAAGCTTCAAATTACTTTCTCCTTGTTCTTTTCCATCCTGTCCCCAACATGTCTTTGAGAGACACTTATGGCCACAGTTCTCACACTCGTCCTCCCCAAAAGATGCTCAGCAGCAGAGAGGACTGTCCCAGCTCTTCCTCACAGGAACTGAGGATGTGGACCAGAGTAGGAGGCCACTCAGCAGTAAGTCTCCTTGAAAGTGGAAGGAATCCACCTAAGACTTCATGATCTCAAAAGAGCAGGAACAGGAGGTGAAGGTCAAGACTACTTGTAAGAATAAACAGTTATAATTAATTTTTTCCTGGATTTGAGACATCAAAGGAGGGAGGTACATTGGGAGAAAAAGGAAGCAAAGTTAGAGGGATAAAGGCAAGGCACAAGAAGAGTCTGGGGCTGTCCTTCAGAGAAACAGGCAGAAGGGGAAGAGGAAAGGGAAAGCAAGTGAGAAATGGGGAAAAAAAAAAGACCTAAGAAGGGAAAGGGAGGTGAGAGGGGCAAATGGATCAGAGAAGAAGAGAGCCAGATTAAAAAAAAAAAAAAGAAAGAAAGAAAGAGTCAGACTGGGCACTCTATAAAAAAACCTGAGAATAAAGACTCACAGAAAGTATGGTCAAGTGAAGGAACAGGGAGCATGACCTGGAGGTCAGGAAACCAAGATGCAACAAACAGTGAGGAATTCAACAAATAAAAGCCCTCAATATTAGGATGCATAAATCTGTTGAGCTAATCCCTCTACTTCCACTTGCCCTAACAGAGTTTGGGTCTGAAAGAGAATTTGAGACACAGGCAGGGTAAGGGAAAGGCACATCAGGAGAGGTGAAAAGGATCAGAAGCAGCATTTTTTCCTCTATAACCTCTCATATTTTATAGCTCCACCTCATCAGAGTACATGATCATACGGTGAGTTTGTAGGTTATCCTACATGACATGCTGTCAATCTCTGTATAAATCATTGCTCTCTTGATTTTTCTCATGTATTTCAAATGAGACTTTCTCAGCAAAAGCTGCTGTTCAATCTCAAAGAAGGTTAAATGGTTTTCCAGCTGATTCTTGGCCACAGTTTCTTTCTACTCAGCTCAAAATAAGGGCCAAATCCAAGCTTGGCTCTGTGCCGTCTGTTTTCAGTATTACTCGATAAGTTCCTTTCGTCTGGAAAAACCTTCAGATTTATCTTCCACTTTTCCCCCATACAGAGATAACGGCCAAATCACAAGCGCCTTCGCTGAACATGTGTGACTCAGATGGTCATGAAACATAGCGGGGCTCCATTTCCACACGCCGACTTACAAGACCCAAAGCCATTTGTTGTTTCCTACTTGTTAGACCTCCCAGTCCAGCTATGACAATAATGGACTTAACGAGACCTCATTTTGTTGCTGATTAAGCTTTGCCACCACAATCGCTAGGTTGCACAGCAATACATGCTGGTGTAGGACTCTCCAGGGAAGCTCATGAGATTTCACCTACGTCTGCGTATTCCAGATTTTTCCTCCCAGCCTAGCAAACTTGGCAAAAACATTTTGATTTCTACTTAAGTGGGTTGTGAAAAACTAACGTTCTCATCTGAGAGCAGGTCTCTGAAGATTTCTGCAGAGGATGCGAGTGCAGCTCCCACGGTCGGGCTAGCCCCAAGGCTCACATCTGAGAGGGCATCCTCAGACTGGAAGCGCTCCATGGCCTTAGCAGAACAGAGTGGTTTAAACCAGTATGGCTGATTCACAGAAATTATAAAACCAGATTAGGAGATCTAATTTCTAGGCAGCAGGAAGAACCGATGGGAAGGCCAGCTGTGAAAATTGCTTTCATTTACACAACGCACAAGAATGGGCCAAAAATGCTACTGTAGGATCATGTCCTGTATCACATGAGTTGGTCAGATCAGAAAACATTTGCAGGATTATTACAATATACCATTTCTTTAATCAGTAAATTCCTGATACAACATATACTGAAGTCCATGGGAAAAAGCCAACTGCTTTCAGCACGCATTGGAAGAAACTGGAAAATTATACTAACGCACAAACTTGCAATAGGACACAAGTAAAATGATATCCCTGCTTATAAAAGCAGTCATATCAAGCAGACTGTAAAATTAAATTGATGCACTAACACGCAATACAGCCTAAGCAAAAAATTATATCCCTAGCTATCTAGTAATACTGCTGCATACATCTAGTGGGTATGATTAGTGTGTTACGAGGCTGTTACTTAGGTACACAAAATATAGCCAAAAGATTGTTATTGCTCATGAAAGAGGTTTTGGGTTGTTTGTTTTTAACATGGATTGTCAAATTTAGGTTTATTTTCACAATATACTGCCGAGTTATTAAAGAAAGCATTGTATAAAGGTTAACTCAGAAGCCTGGGAATCAGGGAAAACACCCTTTATTATGTGTGATTTGTGGTTTATCTTCTGATCAGTAAAATATGAGTAACGTCCCTTTGGTGAGGCCCTAATTCATTAAGGTTTTTCACATGGCAGTAAGACACGCAGGTTGGAGAGGAATACGACTTACGAGTGCTGCAAGTCAGAGTTTACACGCATGTTTTAAGGACTTTGACACACAATCAGGTTGCTGCACTGTGAAGTGTTACCCTACTTTGGTTGATGGATAGTTACTGCCCATGTAAGATGTCTTACCCTTGTATGGGAGCAAGGTAACTCCAGGCAGCTTGCTGCATCGATGCCAGGGTAAGCCGGGGCACACAAAGTTCCTCCAGAGCAGCCGAGGGACAACAACTTCTTTGACAATGGCAACTTGTATTAAAGCCTTTAGCAATTATTTCTCATCAAAGCCTCTAGATAATTAAGTCCTCTCTCCAAATGAGTGCAACAGTTCACACACATTTCCCATTGCTGCCTTGTTAAGCTTGGTGACCTACATGAACGATGCTGCTGCAGCCTTGGACAAGCCTCCATCTCACAGACACACAAAAATGCCGGTCGTGTAATTACCCCTGAGCATCCGTTTTGTGGCAGCCTTGGCACAAGCATTACAGACACTGAACTCTTCATCCTCGAAGATGATCCCACCAGGATTGATGTGCACAATGGGGGGAATACTCACTTTTTCCTACCAGCCAGCAAAAATCTGCATTTCTGAGTGTAGATCCAGATGTAAAGGCATTGACGGCCCTTTGGCTAGTTTTCCGTCTCTAGGAGGCTCTGTTATTTATCTCTGATCCGGTTGGGATTCAGGCTAATGCAACAGAAGTGAAAAATCTCTACTGCTCTTGCAAATAAATTGAGCCATTCTGTTGCCATGTCATACAAATTTATGAGGCGAGATTTGCTCTCAGTTTCACCTCCCCTTGCTTGTGCATAGGCCTAGGAAGATATGAGAGATCATTCAATGAATGTCTGCAACTTACATCCACTCCATCTTAATGGCATCACAACCTGCATATAACTAGATTTCCGCCCCCCGCCCCCAACACATTTTCTTGATTCACCTTCAAAATCTAAGTGGGTGAGATTTTACATTTGTCCAGATTTTTTCCTCTCACCGCTGCCTGCCATATCGCTTGAATACAGAGGCACAAAAGGGCTGGGAGGGTCCTGATGTGCCCATGGCCACGTAGGCACTGTGTGAGCCCCTTCCTCCAGGAAAGCAATCCCTCTGTCATTGAGGGATTATCAGTGTGGATGTGGATATCCAAAATGACTGTGACATCCAAAATGTGACTGTGGATATCCAAAATTACTCTGGCTACTCTCTCAAAAGGATGTTTGCAATTGGAGGAGGTGGGACAGAAGCATGATTTATGCTGTCAGAAATTGATTTTTTTTTTTTTTTTTTTACTACACACACTACATCTTGGGAGCAGCCAAGCAGCCTGCTTGCTTTGCTTACAAACTCCTAATTTATCCAACTTTGGTTCAGAGAGATAGGTGAGATTTTCTACAGGAACAGCTGGATTATAAACATGGCAGGGAAAAGATGCCCCATGCCCCATTGCAGCTACTGCTCAGGTGGTACCACCCCGTGCTCTCTGCTTGGGATAACCCCCCCAAGTGATGCTGAACAAGGCACGAGTCCCGCTTAGCAGGGAAGTATCCAAAAAATGCCTGCACAAATGCACAGGTAATACAGGGCTGATACTTACAGAAAATCACTGACACTGCAAACTGTCTAAATTCATCCCCCCTGGAAAAAGCACTCCCTTTCCTCCATGATCCCCCGAGCACACAGCCAAGTAAGCACATCTCTCTGCCCCTCACCTGCCTTCCTGACAAATCCCCAAGACGTCTCTCTCCCAGCTCACACTCTGCTACACAAACTGCAAACTCACAGTTCAACCATCTTCCTAACGTTACCATGGTTTCCCAGGTCTCTTACCAAAGCTCATTCCCATGATATAACCTAAAATGCTTTTCTTAAAACCTGTAAGAGATTCCTATGCATGGATTGCAGTCCCGATCTTTTCTTTTCCCTGGTAGTTGATTTATTAAAAATACCTAATCCCAGCTGTGCCAGTTTCTCAAGAACACACCCCAATGGCTTCTGAAGGAAGGGCAAGCCTATATAAAATATCAGAGATAGGATTTCACAGAAATAACAGCTAGGGAAGCATCAAGCATCAAATCTACAGACATAATCACACTGAGTTCCCGATGATCCTTCTAGTGTGGGAGATTATTTGAAGTCATACATCTTTCAGATTCTTTTTTCAATTTCATAATATTTGAAAGAAGCCACTCAAGCCTCTCAAACCAAGATTTCTGATGCAAAAACTCCACACCGCAGACCAAAAATAGCAGAATTATGAGCACTAAAAGTGTCTAGCAAGGCTTTTTATTTTAATTCATATTTGAGAAAGGTTTCTAACAGCTGGAGAAAGTAAGAGCTGTATTCATAAAACCCTTGTGTATTTGCCACACAAATGGTGCTTTTATTGAGCGGGGGGGTGGGGGGGGGTGGGGAATGCGGAATGTGCCTATTCCGCATCAGGAATGCGTTTCTCCAATTCATAAATCCTCCCCCTCTCCCCCAGCTGACTAAAGGAAACCTTTCTCAGTTTGCCACCGAGGTGAGAGAGGGCGAGAGCGATTCTCCGAGAGCGCCAGCCCCAGAAAGAGGCATTTCAGCTGAAACAACACACTTATTAAAAACACGCATACAAATAGGACTATGTGTTACAGCCCGGCCAAGGGACGCTCATAGCCGGCACAGACAACAGCAGGGACAAATCTCTCAAAGGTACAGCCAACCCACCATACTAGCAGCCTGCCACAAAGTATAACGTCCTGCCATAAATACATACGTTTTTCAGGACAGGTCTGAGAGTTTCCAGGCTAAAATGGCCACTCGGACACAGGTGGGAAGAAGGAATGAGTTACGAGGATGGGGAACTGAAACATAGAAAGACAGAAGGCGAAATAAAAAAAAAAAAAATCTAGATTTACTTTAAAACTGGTGATTGAAGAGGATATATAGACAGAACTAGAAACAGGAACCAGAAACCCTGATTTCCCCCAAGCAAAGCTTTGTCCTGAACTGCAGGCACCACAAGGCACTAAAGATGCTCCTAAGATGCAGACACTAAGGCGCAGGGGAATACCTGTACTTGGGGTTGTTCTGGGCTTAGTGACTTCACAGCTCAGCGCTGTTAAAAATGGAGCAGTTTGGGTTAATAAGAGAGGTCTAACTCTTGGCAGATTCCCAGGTGGGGAGCTTAAAAGTAAAAATAAAATAAAAGCCACCTAAACATTCGGGCTTGGCAGCAGCCAAGTGGAAGGTTTGGATGGGGATTTTTAGACTTCGGCTCAGCTCCATCTCTCCTACTTTGGGCACTTCAACCCTTAACTGCGTGTAGTCCTTAACAGCTCGCCCAACATCCTACAGGGGCTGAACCCAAATCCCAAGGTCCTGGTCGAGACATGAACCAGACGCTCGATGTGCAGGGACTGACCTTGCAGCATCCCTCCACCTCAGGCAAGAACATCTGCACTCCACAGTCCCATCCAAATAACAGATTCTGATGCTTCAACAAGCCTCATTTTAAGTATTTCTTCATTTAATACCATCTGTGTGTGGTTTAATTTTAGCCCCATTCTTGTCCTGGCTATCATGGATGTGGAGAACATGTTGTTCCACCCTGTTTGGAGTAATGCTTTGATACAGAGTGGCAATACAGAAGGGGCAAAGGAAATAGTAAACTGATTCTGCAAGGTCCTGGGTCTTTAAATAGCATTTCATATCAAGGTCAAAAAAGGCTGGATCTACTGTACAGGCAACAGACCAAATTCTAAACTCTTCCTCAGTCAGTCCCTGGAATAGATGTTTATGGGTCCAAACCGAAGGGTGAGGATAAACTTCAAACTCCTCCTCACCAGCAAGTGCTTTGTCAGCTGAGCTAATTAGGCAAAGCCAAGAGAAGGTCTGCCAGCTCTCACAGATTATGCCCTAAAAGAAAACATATTGGCAAGCCACTGAAAAAATGCTATAAGCAGCTCACACAGTCACTGCTTTCCCCCCCACACTGCTAGAAGTTATCTTCCAGGACTTGATCCTGAGCTCCAGGCTACAAAGTTTCTGTAGGAACTGTATTGCCCACAACTTGTAAAGAAAAGGAAGGTAAGACTGCATGGAAACAAAAAATACCCCCCTCCTTTCCCTATAACTCCCCTCAAATCCATATTGTGCTTCACATTTGTGGATAAAGCCTAAAAGA